CCTAGAAAATGCTGTAACTCCATGCCAATGCCACAAAAGGCCAAGTGGGGTTACAAATTTGTGAATTTGTGGGTTACATTATGACACTAGATCTCATTTAAACTTTTTATTTCATCTGGCTTCTTCTAACACCACTCCAGCAGGGAAAAGTGGGAGTGCCAACTTTTTACTACCAGATTGCTATAATAGAAGTCCAGGTTCCCCATTCAGCTTCCGTTGATACCTGGCATGGGAAAGAATCCTCTTTACTGCTATGCTGGATGGAATTTCCAGCTCCCCACTATTTTTCTGCGCACACCGCTCTGGCCATCCTGGAATGGTGCTTCCTTGCAGCTCCAACTGCCTCCACTGACACTGCTGAAGATCTATCATTCCCTCTGGGAAGTGGTGAAAGTCCTGACTCTCCACTAGGAGTCCTCTGGCACCTTCCTAGTGTGGGGAGAGGGAGGGGATCATTCCTTCTAAGTGAGAGTGGAAATCCCAGTTTCCCAAGTGGTCTTCACAGACACATCAGGGAGGGGGTCAAGAGGAGAGCTCATTATCAGCCTGCAGAGATCCTAGCTCTCTACCCAGCCTCTGATGACATCAACCCAGCAAGGACATTGAGGCACACCATTATAGCCCTGTGAGCGTGAACGTCTAATCTCCCCACTTGGCCTTTTGTGGCATTGGCATGGGGTTACAGCATTTTCTATGGTGTTTGGATGTAGTTGAATGCTTATTCTTTAAAAGTTTTCTGTCTTAATAGGCTGTCCAGCTGCCCCTTTCCTCCTGGTCTTCTAAAAAGCAGGTTTATGTTAGGACTTTTTGGTTTTTTTTAATCTGTGTCCATTGGTGTCTTCATCAACTCCAAGACTGGGATATATGTGGCCACAGGAAAACTCAGGAAACTCACCACTACAACTTTCTTTGGGTTGCAATGTCCCTGGCACTGTCATTTTACTCTACCTTTCATAGATTTTGTATATATATGTTTCATATATATGTTTCATATATATAATGTCCAGAGTTTTTAGATGTACTAAGTGGAAGCAATAGGGAAAAAATACTTCTAGACCATCTACCTGGAAGCAGAAGTCACATTGCTGTCAGGTTTTATCACAGAGAGTTTCCTATATTGAATGAGTGAAGTCTGTACCTCCAACCTTTCCAAACTTACCTGAATTGAGGGAGAGATATATAGAAAGCTAAAGCATGTTATAACCTAAAAATATTTTAACAAAAAAAATAATGACCAAGGTGATTGAAATCAATAGTATTTTCATTTTCCCCAAAGTTCTGAATATTAAGTTAAGCAAAGTGTTTATAATGGCTGAACAATCATACTTAATTATAATTTTTAATAAATGGAAAACTTGTTATGATGAACTTTTTCAGAAACTGAAAAAATTAAATGCTAATGATAGACAATATTTTTTGCAAGTCAAATAGATGCCCTGTCATTTTTGAGAAGGTAAAGAAAGGAATTGATAAAAGTATCCTTTAAAAATTATTAAAAGTCACTTAGTGATATACCATTAAGCTATTAATGGTATATGACTTGGAAGAAATTTAAAGAATTAAATAGCATTCCTATTAAAAACAAATAAATAAAAGCTCCCTCAATGCCTTTTATTGTATTTCTGTGAATAGAGTTTCCAGTATTTCTATCTATAAAAATAAAATATTATATAATAAAAATGACCCTGAAGTGTTTTATTTTAGCAAGAATAAATATTAATCATGGGGTTTATGAGGTAATTTTAAAGCATTATTTTCATTCAGTGATAATTTTGTATTAAAATTTTACTTTTCACATTTAATAAAATGCTCTTTTATATAAAATATAGTAAAATATTTTTGCAAGTAATCGATAAATATTTTTGTTGCAGAGAAGTGTAAGATGATCAACCAAACACATAAGCATAAACATATATATAAAGTTCAAAAACAAAACTAAGATATATCTTTTTAATCAATGATATAAAATAGCAAATTAATGTTGCATTTAAAATCTATTGATTACATTTTTTAAATGAGCTAACAGAAGTATGCTAATATGTCAATATGTATAATATATGATATATATATATATATATATATATATCCACATATAAAGAAATATATGGCAGCTCCCAATACTGAGGGCATTTGCCAAGCAGATCTGAAATAACTTGAGCCATCGATTATTGTATTTTTCATTTTGGTAATTTACATTTTGTTTTTCCAATTCTTTTGCAGAAAGTTTTCATGTTTCAAGGAGATTTATAATTGCTTACTGAATAAATTTTATGGTAGCTACTTCAAAATCATTTCCAGATACTTCTACTATCTCGTTCACTTGGTCTTGGCATCAGTTGATTGTTTTTCCTCATTTAGGTTGAGATTTTCTTGGTTCTTGGTATCACAAGTGATTTTCAGTGGTATCTTGGACATTTTGAATATTATGTTAGAAGACTCTTGATCCTGTTTAAATCTCTCATTTTAGTAAGAGGCCTCTTTTTACGTTTAGTGTGTAAGTCCTGGAAACCATTCCTGGCTTTGTTGACATAGCCTCTGGGGCAAAGGAGCCTATCATCTATGAGCACTGGGCCAAGAGATGAGTTGACCTTCATGGGTTTTTTTCTGGCAATGATCATCCTGCAGTTGCTGCCAGCTTGTGCAAGGTAGAGAATGCACTGCCTCCTAGGCTCTGCCAGCAGTGCTACTGTGGGCAGACAAGGCCTAAATGGCTGATGTGAGCTAGGGATTGAGTTAGGATCCCAGCTTTGCTGGTATTGCAGCTGCAGACAGATGAGAATTACTACTGCCACTGAAGATGGATCTTCCCATCAAACCCCCACTGGGCTTCCTTTTTCTTGTTCCTTTGACCAGAAAGAACAGATTTTGCCTTTATTTCCCTTCCTTTGTTGTAGCCTATGCCTGTTGCCAGTTCAAGGTTGTAAACTGCAGGGCTCTCTACATCCCAGTATAGAATATATGAGAGCTAAAAATCAATCCTAGAGAGCTCACTGTGCTATTGTTCCTCAAGTCCTGAGGTCCGTGGTCAGTCCACCTTCTCCTTTCAGAATCATTTTATGATTGTATCTGGAGAGAAACTGCAGAGAAAAGTGAATATAAACCATCTTGTCCTGGAACCTGAATAGATCAAACTTTTCAAAGTATCAACGAACTATTTTCCAAAATTCCAAGCTATTTTATAATTTATGTATCTTCAATAGCAGTGTATGAGTTACAGTTCTTTCAAATCCTCACCAACAGTAATATGTTCAACCTTTTTTAAAATTTCAACTATTTGAATAGCTGTGTAGTAGAATCACAGTATATTTTAATTTATATTTTTTAATGAATGAAGATGCTAAGTATATTTCGAGTGCTTTTTCCTCATCCATATGTATTCTTTAAGTATTTTAAAAATCTGATTGTCATAATATATATTTGATACTTTTGAAATATGTTCATTTAATCAATTTTATGTAGTCATTGCATCATTGGAAGTGCTGGACTTCCAGCACTGGAATACCAGCAAATACCAGCAGCTGGAATTTCAACCATGCTTATTTGCAGAACTCCTTTCCAACACTTCTGCCAGGACAAAATGAAATATATTCACTTTTCTCTGCAGCTTCCCTCTGACACTTCTCCTCCATAGCACTTTTCTTACCACCTGGATCCAGTTGTATTCATCTGTTCTTGCCAGATTATTGTTTTAGTCCTCTGGTTGCTATAGTACAATTCACTTTTATGGGCACTATCTTCTGTCCTCCACAGAGGTGTAAAGTCCTTGTGATAAGATACCAATCCTTATATTTTTCTGAGTTCACTTGCAATGCTTAGAGTAGCATTAACACACCATAGATTCTTCTTAAATATGCAGGGAAGGAGTCAGCGATTAGAGGGAAAGAGTGAGTGTGTTTCAGGTGAGTGGTACCAAAAAAGTCCACATTCATACAGTAGTTTAAAATAGCAAAACTGAATTTATTCAAGAACTATTGCAATAGAGGAAAATAGACGTCATTTAATACTGAAGTCCACCTTGAATAAAGCATGTAAAAGTGGGGATTTATAGCCAAAGAACAAGAAGTGGGGTCAGTGAATGGAAAATGGTTAAGAGGAGGCATCCAGGATAGGGAAGAATTACTGCTAAACTGATCTAACAGGATTCTTGGTGAAGGCAGGCCATATACAACCTGCAGGAAGGTGGGGACTGAGGAATTTGGTCAGAAATAAATAGTAGTCAGACGCCAAGGGTAAACTGACTGAGCAAGATTCTTGCTACAGCAGGGTGAGGCAGGCCTGACAGAGATGGACACTGAAGCCCGAGTACAAGGTCTAATTGAGAAGAGGGCTTAGAGGAGCCTGACTAGGGTTTGGTCAAGGACAGCAGCTTTGTCAGTGGAAGAGTGAAATTGAATGACCACTAGGGCTGCAAATTTGATTCACTTTCCCTGCCCAACAAAACTTATAAAGTAGTAGAAAGACTTGTTGATGGTCAGGATATGAACTCTGAAAGTTTTAAAGCCCCAGAGATTCCCAGAAGAGTTTTACAAGTCACACGTGACACTAAGCCTTGTAACTAATGAGAGCAAATTACAAAGTTGGGTGAGAAAGTTCTCTGCTCCTGCTGATGAAGGATGAGAGGAATTCCCTTGGGGTCTCCTAAGCAGAACCAAACCTCTAGAGCTGAGGAATCTGTGGCTCTGATAATAATCAGATGATATATTTAAACTATTAGGAAGGAAGTCTGTAAATCACCGTGATTTAGTAGTGGTGAGGGCTGATGACAGCACATGTGGCCTAGCCTTACAACTCATGTCACAAAGTTCTAGAACCACAGAAAGCTGAAGCTTGCACAGACTCGGGACTTTCCACCTCACTTCCCAGCTGGGGAGACTCAAATTCAGAAGATGCAGCAATTTTCCCAACATCACTAAGCTAGTAGTGATAAAAGTAAGAAACCCACACTCTTAGGCTTGTGATTTTCATACTTGGTGAACCTCTGCTTCTTTTGAGAGGTGAACAAAGTATGCTTCCAACAACAACGTGAAGACTGTCTTTGGAAGAATATATTACAACTGTGACAGTGTATTGGCTTTGGATCCTGGTAAAATACACAAGGTAGGAAACAATTCTAGATGGTTTGACTTTCTCTTCATAATTGTCACTGCAAAAAGGAAGGGTCCTTGGGATACAATTATATATTTTCTCCAAATCATCCTTTATTTCACATTGGAAAGTGTGTGTATTTCCTTCATCAGTGAATCCATATCCCAAGTTAAATTTGACACAAGCATAATAAGGGACAACTTTAAAGATAGGTGAGCGTAGAGTGGGACATAGTATTCCCACCACACACACACACACACACACAGACACACACAGAATATGTAAGACTGTAGAGGGAGATTCTGACATGCTTACTCTATTGCTGGTGATTCACCAAATAAATATTTAGCACACAGTTAAGGATAGATAAAGAAAACCCCGTCTTAAAATATAGGGTATAGGTTATTTTTTGTATAGGTTATTTTTTGCATTTTCAAAAAGCTTATGAATTTAATGATGCCTTTGCAAACAACTCCCCTGCCCCCCAGGCTGTGTTTGAAGGGCTATGACATATTTTGTGAAATCAGACTGTTCCTCAGGTAGTACGTTAAAGAGAGCTTGGGTTGTATACCAGGGACACAAGGTACTAAGACAGCTTCTTGTTTTGCCAATGTATTTTAATTTTTCCTTGATACATTTATTTAATATTTTAGTCCTAGAATCCATATAATTGTTTTCTTATAAAATTACTGCAAAGACTTAAGAGAGCTTAAGAATTTTGGTGTGTGAACTGCTCTACTGATGGGAGAAATTTTCCACAATGGCTTAGGGTTAAGCAAAAGGAATCTATTGGGACCTGGTATTTCTGAGAGGGAAAGGATGTCTTCTGAACAAAGTCCAGAATGCTGCAGGAAGCTTATCATATGGGAAAGTGGGGTAATAATCTACAAGTGGATTTAGAAGCCAAATATATTGATACTAAATTTGGGTACTAAAAAGGTTTACGCAAAAAGGCCTCTGGAGGAAGCCTAAGGTTTCCATAGATACTGTCGCTCATAATATACACTTAGGCTAGAGGACAAAAAAGTACCCTAGCCTTCTCATTGGTAGGTGAATGCTCACAGATAAGAAGGGTAGATACAGTGAGAGAAAGGGAAACTGGAATGGAGAAAGACTTGATAGAAGACAAGGAAAAGATTAGGTCACAAGATCCATGTATGACTATAAGAGAATAGGGTCTTGTTAGGTCTAAGAGGACAAATAATTGAGGGTTGTAACAAAAGGGAGCATGAAATGGGGAGATTCTGAGTTGCTGATAATATATTATTTCTTTATATGGGAGCTGGGCACTGTTTACACAGGTGAGTTGTGTGTGAATACTCCCTGATTTAAACATGTCTGATTATTGCAATTATCTTTGTGTTTTTATAAACAATTAAAAAGTTTCAAAAAAGAAAAAATAAACCCTATAAGGTAGAGTCTATAGGGTCATGGGTTATTTCTGGAACTATTTATAATTTAGACCATTTTCCTACTGCTTCTTTTGACTATCAGTGACAAGCTAGATCCTGCCAAGAGAATGTTTGAGCTTAGCCTGAGATAAACCGAATTAGAGTGAAAAGTCTGTTAATCCCCATGCTCAAAAATCAACGCTGTCCAATGCTGAATTCAGTAATGTAGCCCTTGTTTATAGATTAAGCAACTTTTTGGTGACTAACTCATGAATCCAACATTTATAGGGAATTATTACCTTCTTAAAATGCTCTGTATTATCACCCTGAAAAATGCAGAAATGTATGACTCATAGCATATTTCCTCAAGGAAAGGAAAATAAATGGAAAAAATACACAGTTCAACTTACAATAGTTTGCTTCTAGTTATACATATATCACTTCCTAGATACAACATTTTTATTTCTAAAATAAGAAAAATAATCAGCCCTACACATTTCACAGCTGTCCTATGCACTTCATATATGTGTTATGCAGAGTAAAATCAATAAACCTTTGAAAGAATTTGGAAAAACATAGAGTTAATGAATGCTAGTTATTAAATATCTTGTCATATGAGACAAGAAAAACAGTAGTTCAAAATAATGCAAGGGTGATAAATGTGTTAAATATAAGGACAAGCAACATGTTCTAGAATTCAGAGAAGGATAAGATTAAGTCAGATATAGAATTATTAACAAGTTCATACAATGACAAAACAAAAAATTTGGGAGGGTGTTGAGCTTGGCATTCCCTAATGGACAAAATCTCAGCTGCCACCTTTTTGCATAAAGAGTCTGTTTGTTAAGACCATCCACATATTGTAATTAATCGCTATTAATCCTGAGATTTCTAGGTATCCTATCTCTCTTCCTTAGTTCTTCTGAGGGCATAGGGAGGGAAGCATATTCTTTATTTTCCTTGGATATTTTAAGACATAAGGGCTTCTCCAAGAAGGGATAGTGGCTTTGGGATTCTCTAAAAATTGTAAGCCATGACCAAGTTTTTAATAAAATTACTAGTAAATGAATTCTCAGTATTCACTTGGGAAATATATGGGAACCATATACAATGTGGAAGCTGCTGTGTTGGGCCCTGACTCTGTTCATTAGTGACTTAGAAGTTTTTACGATGTTCAGAGGCTCATACAAATCCGGTTCACCTGATACATTGAATCTCCTTCATGTGAACATCAACTGGAGTATTTTCTCCTGTATCATAATATCAGCGAATATAATAAAATCCTTTAAACATTAGGCCAGAGCAAACCTTCTAGTAACATAAGTCATTAATAAAGAAGTGCTGAACAAAGGAAGAGATGAATGAATAAATGGAAAAGAAGGAAGATGTATTAACCACATACACGTGGTTTAGCTAAAATAATGAAAAAGCAGTTGTTAGTTGTAAATCTGATGAATTGTCTTATTTACATCACAGTTTTCACTTGATGACATCAGAGAATAATGCAGAGTTGGATGTTTATTTGTTGTTTCTTTTACATTTCAGACATGCAAACAATGAAGATCAACCAGACTATCTTGAAGGAATTCATTCTTGTTGGCTTTTCTATATACCCAAATGTACAGACATTCCTCTTTGTGGTCTTCTTTTGCCTCTACCTTCTCACCCTTGCAGGTAATCTCACCATCATGGGTCTAACCTGGGTGGACAGGTCTCTCCACACGCCTATGTACCTCTTCCTTAGTGCACTCTCTTTCTCCGAGACCTGCTACACGTTGGCTATCATCCCTAAGATGCTGGAAGATCTGCTGGCTAAGAACAGAAGCATTTCAGTCGTGGGTTGTGGCTTACAGATGTGTTTCTTCCTGGGACTTGGTGGCACAAACTGTATCATCCTCACTTTGATGGGATATGACCGCTTCCTGGCCATCTTTAACCCTCTAAGATACCCACTGGTTATGACCAACATTGTGTGTGGACAACTTGTGGCTTCTGCCTGGGTTGGAGGCTTCTTCATCTCTCTGATAGAGACTGCACTGATATTCAGGGGCTCTTTCTGCAGCCCCAACCTCATCAAACACTTCTTCTGCCATATGCGGGCAGTTGTCAGGCTGTCCTGTACAGACAGCGACCTCATAGAGTTCATTGTGACAGTGATCTCAGTGTCAGGCTTGCTGGGTACCTTTCTGCTCATTATCCTGACTTATGTTTTCATTCTCTCCACTGTCCTCAGGATCCCTTCGGCCAAGGGCAAGCAGAAGGCATTCTCCACCTGCACCTCCCACCTCACAGTGGTCATCATCCACTTTGGTTTCGCATCTATTGTTTATTTGAAGCCAGAAGCCTCAGGGGGAGATGACACACTCATAGCAGTCCCTTACACTGTCATCACCCCTTTGCTCAGCCCAGTCATATTCAGCCTCAGGAACAATGACATGAAGAATGCTTTTAGAAAGATGATGGGAAAGACACTGGCCCTGAAAAAATAATCTCACACCATTGCTACTGGTTTGAAGCACTGCTCATTTTCCCCAGAATTCAATGGGGCATTTATCCTGTGACTTCTGGATAAGCCTATACCATTTGCCTTTATTCAGAGATTGGGATATGCGGGGAGCAAGGTTGACTGAGACTAAGACATGAGCCATCACAGGCATTTACTTAGCTTGTTAAAGAAGTGGCCCAAGACTTCTACTTTCCAGTATTAGAGGAAGAATGTCCTGCAGATATGTGGATTCTGCCAATCAACTTCTGAGTGTCCTGTACCCTTTATGAAGTGGGAAAAGAAAGAGAATGAAAGGAAAACAAACAAACAAACAAAAACCAGGATATAAAACTGCTGCACTAAGAGATGTTTTAAATAGCTAAAGGAATAAAAGTTGAAGAATTTTTCTAGGCAAGATTGCCAAACACTGGTTGCACTCCCAGTAGATAAACCATTTCTGATAAGAGATATACCCTGCAAAAACTAACAAGTGTCTATTAGTGCATATGTGGATACACGCACACACATACACACACACACACACACACACACACATTTTTAAGTGCTCATGCCATAACACCCTGTTCACAACTGTGGCCTTCCATTGACTGCCATGTGCTAACTTCTGAGTATACAGCATATCCTTCAACATTTCTTCATAAGAGTAAAGAAAACATTACAGCCTACATCTTCTATGACTGAGGGAACTGTGTATTTGAGAAATGTGTCCCCATTTTCTCTAAGGTGAAGACATTCAAAGCAAATGTTGCAAATGTTAAACTTTGCCATGATATTGAGAGATTTGACAAAGAAAACTGCTTTGAAATAATTTTGGCATGGTGTACAATGTGTAAAGGACAAAACCAGATGAACACAGCATCAATTCTTTATATCACCAGAAATGAAATAAGAAACACTGCGGAGTTTTTGTCACAGAAGAATAGTGAATGGTCTTAATGAAAATGCAGACATGCAAGCCTAGGGAATCTCCTGAATCTTTTTTTCAGCTCTGCTGTTAGTCAACTCTGTGACTTCTCATGAAAGATATAAAATTTATACTGAGATTTGGTGTATATAAAATTTATATTAAAAGGCATTACAGTAATTTCAACCCTATTATTTATGGAACTATTATGAAGATAGAGGAAATAATAGGTAAACGTTATTGTGCACATCACCTGATTAAGTTTAGCCCTGCCCATGACTCTCTTTCCTTCCTTGGGGATATGTTTGCGATACCTGTGCAGATGGAAGCTAATCTCTGCTATCTGCAATCTGTAGTCATTGCTTCAGTGGCAAGAGTGTTTCTTTTACTTTGATTTCATGTATGGCAATTTGTTATTCAATCTAGGGAAGCTTAAGTCTTGAAAATAAATATTAACAATTTTCCTACTCATGGTAGGTGCAGAGGATATATATGATGTCTAGATTCAAATACTTGAACCATAATTTAGATGAATTAACCTGCAATTCGTTTAACACATGGATCCATTGATAAGCTAAAGATAAGGAATTAGATGAAAGTTGAAAATAACCAAAGACTTATGCACATATGGGCATTCGCTTTACATTGTAGAGCAGTGAGAAAATGATAGACTTTCAATAGCTGGTGCTAGAAAATAGGATATCCCTATGGGAAAAACAAAATCTAAGATTTCTTAGGTATCAAAAACTAAATTTGAGAAGCAAAACAATAAAACTTTTAGAGAGTGAAATACGTTGTCTTCATCAACGAGGGGAAAGAAGTATTGTTGAAGATTGTACTGAAAAAACTTAGCTAAAAATAAAAAAGATTAAGTCAAAATTAAGAAATTTTATTCATCAAAAAGTTACCATTTCGGGAGTGGATAGGAGAGTCAAATAATAAAACTATAATGATATTTAAGAAAGTGATTAGTGTAAAATTTAGGATAGTAATGACTAATGACTTTTGGAAGGAGGGGTCTGTGATTGGGTTGGGGGAAAAGCACAAGGAGCAACTTCTGGATGGCGAAGTTCTTTTTCTTTATCTAGGTAGTGATTATTAGAGTTTGTCTCACAAAAGATTCACTAAGCTGTGTATTTGTTTAAATAATTTTCTGGTTTTATGTTTTGTTTTATACTACAAATATTTTTTAAAAATTTAAAAAGGAAGAAAAAAATCTGCAATACATAACTGGCAAAAGGCTCTCTCATCTGGTATATATACAGTCATGCATTACGTAACAATGAGGATACATTCTGAACCACATGTCATTAGGTGATTTTGTCTTTGTGCAAACATTGTAGAGTGTAGTCACACAAACCTACTGCACTCTCAGGCTGTATAGTATAGTCCAAGGGTCCTCAAACTTTTTAAACAGGTGGCCGGTTCACTGTCCCTCAGACCCTAGGAGGGCCGTTAGGGAGTGTGGCGCACATTCCACACATGCGCACTGTGGGCCTGGGAGGAGTCAGCTGCTAAGCAGGACAGGCATTGGTGGCAAAAATACCCCGCGGGCTGGATAAATGTTCTGGTGGGGGAGGGGCGCATGTGGCTGGTGGGTCGTAGTTTGAGGATCCCTGATATCCTATTGCTCCTAGGCCACAAAACTGTATGGCATGTTGCTATACTGAATACTGCAAGCAACTGTAATTCAGTGGCAAGCATCTGTGTATTTAAGCATATCTAATAATAGGGTACAGTAAAAATATACTATTATAATCTTATGGGACCTTCATTGTACATGTGGGCTGTCATTGACAAAAACATCATGATGCAGTGCATGACTATAAATAATCTCTACCCTCAAAAAATAAACAAATAAAAAGACGACAGCAAAAATGTCCAAGAGATGTAAATATAACCTTTATAAAAGATAATATCCAAATTTTCAATGAATATTAAAAAGGCACTTGATCTCATTAGTAAGCATAAAAATGACCTCAATGATGGCTGGCTCATGCCTGTAATCCTAGCACTCTGGGAGACTGTGGTGGAAGCATCACTTGAGCTTAGGAATTTAAGGTAAGCCTGAGTAAGAATAAGACCCTCTCTCTACAAAAAACACAAAAATTAGCCGGGCATGTTGGCATGCGCGTGTATAGTCCCAGCTACTTGGAAGGCTGAGGCTGGAGGATTGCTTGAACCCTGGAATTTGAAGTTGCAGTAAACTATGATGATGCCACTACACTCTAGTGCGAGAGACAGAGCAAGATTGTCTCCCATAAAAAGAAAAATAAATACTTAAACCTAAGGCATGAAAATATAAGAATTCTAGAAGAAAATGTTGGAAAAACTCTTATAGACATTGGCCTAGGGAAATAATTTATGAAGAAGACCCCAAACACAATCACAGCAACTACTAAAATAAATAAATGGGACTTGATCAAATTAAAAAGCTTCTGCACAGTCAAGGAAACTCTTATGAGAGCAAATAGACAACCTACAGAATGGGAGAAAATATACACATGCTACACATCTGATAAAGGGCTGATAACTAGAATCTACTTAGAACTCAGGAAAATCAGGAAGAAAAAGTCAAACAGCCCCATTAAAAAGGGGATAAAAGACAGGAACCAAAACTTTTCAAACAAAGACAGAATAATGGCCAAGAAACATAGGAAAATATGCTCAATATCTCTAATCATCAGGAAAATTCCAATCAACACCATAATCATATACCACTTAACTCCAGCGAGAATGGCTTTTATCAAAAAATCCCAAAACAATAAATGCTGGCATGGATGCAGAGAGATAGAAACACTCATACATTGCTGGTGGGACTGCAAACTAGTACAACCTCTATGAAAAGTAATATGGAGATACCTTAAAGCCATACAAGTAGATCTACTATTTGATCCAGCAATTCCACTCCTGGGCATCTACCCAAAAGATCAAATGACACTCTACAAAAAAGATACCTCACATGAATGTTTATAGCAGCACAATTCACAATTGCAAAGTTGTGGAAACAACTCAAGTGCCCATCAATTCATGAGTGGATTAATGAAATGTGGTATATGTATACCATGGAGTTCTACTCAGCCACAAAAAACAATGGTGATCTAGCACCTCTTGGATCATCCTGGATGGAGCTGGAGCCCATTCTGCTAATTGAAGTATTTCAAGAATGGGAAAACAAGAACCACATGTACTCACCATCAGATTGGTATTAATTGATCAACACTTATGTGCATATATTGTAGTAACATTCATCAGATGAAGGACAGGCGGGAGGGGGGAGAAGGAGGTGGGTATATTCACACTTAAGGCGTGTGGTGTGTACTGTCTGGGGATGGGCATGCTTAAAGCTCTGACTTGGATGGAGCAAAAGCAATATATGTAACCTAAACATTTGTACTACCCTTCATAGTCTGAAATAAAGAAAAATGAGGCACCACCATATACCCACTTGAATAGTTAAAATTAAAAGGTTGGATTGATAAATGTTGATGAAACTGTGAAGCAAGAAGAATTCTAATGACTAAGAACTTGTGGTAAGAGTGTATATTTGTTGAGTCACTTTAGAAAACAGTTTGGTGTTATAGACTTATTTTGGAGATGCTCGAATCCTGAGGTCAAGCTTTTCTACTCTTAAGTATAAGCCCTAAAGATTCATGTGTACAATGTAAACCATGAGACATATATAGACTGTTCAAAGAGGTAATATTTGTAAAACAGCAAAACTGGATATTAATCAAATATTCCCCAACAATAGAATAGATAGAAAAATATGGCATATTCATATACATATAAGCATGCAATAATAAAAGTTAATACTTCAGCATACACATGAAGTTCATTTTCTACTCATATCATATCTTTCTTCAATTATCTAAGATACACGTTACATACAATTCAAGGACGTCTCTGACCCAATTTCTCATTAGATCTTTCTAAATTTTTATACCAAGAAATTTCCTTGATGGGGAGCAGTGCAAATATTCTGTCAATCGCAATGTAGTAAAACATTAATGAAGAAATAAAATAGGATAAGAATGGCTTCTGTTCTTCGCCTAAATGAGAAGTGCCTGTTGTAAAACGTGTCTATTTGTCTCTTCTATGTTTATGAAGAATTCATTCTATTCAAGACACTTCACTAGCAATAGCAAAAACAAAAACATGCAAAATATAGTTTTAGACTTAAGAAATTCACATCAACTAGTGGAGAGGCTAGGCCATTATGATGTAACCTGAATTAAAGTTTGCACAGATTTATGGGATTGCATGCTCATAAATTAGATAACTTAGATGACATGGAAAAATTCCTAGAATGACACAAACTACCAAAACTAATTCAAGAAGTAACAGTCAGTATGAATAGATATATTACAAGTAAAGAGTTTGCATTAGTAATTTAAAAAAAACCAAAAAACTACCCACAAGGAAAAGCCCAAAACCAACTGAATTCCTCCAAATAGTAAAGTGATTAATATCAATTCCTTAAAAATACTTCAAAAATATTGATGAGGAGGGAACAGTTCCCAAAATTAGAGAAAGAGACATCACAAGAAAAGAACACTACAAGCCAATATCTGTTATAAACATGGATGCAAAAATCCTTCATAAAATGCTACCAAACTGAATATAGAAACATATAAAAAGAATTACGCTCAATTACCAATGACAATTTATTCCAAGAATATGAGGCTGGGATCAATGAGTGCATGTACTATACCATACCAATAGAATAAATAATAAAAACGACACAATCATTTTAATAGATGCAGAAAAAGTGTTTGACAAAATCCAACATCTATCATGATAAAAACATTTAACAATCTAGGAACAGATGGGAACTTTCCCAGCCTAAGAGAGAGCATATGTGATAAAACCATAGCTAACATCACACTTAATGAAAGACTGGGTCCTTCTCTCCTATGATCATGAACAAGACAAGCAAGTATGTCTGTGCAAGCCCTTTCTATTCAACCTTGTTCTAGAGGTTCTAGCCAGGGCAATTAGGCAAGGAAAAGAAATAAGCTATTCATATTAGAAAGGGAGCAATAAACTATCTTTATTCATAGATGATAGATAAGAAATTATCAGAAATTTGAT